CTAGACCATCCCTGGCAGGTGTCTGATCAACCTGCTCTTAAAAATCTCCAGTGACAGAGATGGGTGAATCAGTGACTTTTTTGGTTTGTTAGAGAGACTAGGTGAGTGAAGGAATATTTCTTATTAGACCAACTTCTGTCGGTGACAGAGACAAACTTTCGAGCTCTTTCACCAAGGAAAGTTGGTCCAATAAAAGATATTACCTCCTCCACCTTGTCTCTCTAATATCCTGGGACCAACATGTCTACAACAACACTGCCTACAATTTTTGGTTTGTCAGTGATTTTGAAAAGTTGAAAATAAGTTGTTTAGGAGGTTAAACAAACCCTTTTGTTCAACATTTCCTCTCGATTCTGAGCAGTTTTCTTGGACATTTTGGAACATTCGACACAAAAAGTCATTTGGAAAGGAAAACTCGAAATGGGTTGAATTTTTTTTTTTAGTTTTATTTTTAAATTAACTCTTTGGCAAAAGGGATAATTCAGAAAATATTTTGGTGTCACCAAATGTGCATTTTTTCTCAAAGAAAAGAGAAAAGTTGGGGTGGAAAATATTTACTCAGCTGCTGGTGTGGATTGTTTCCATCAGGAGGAGAAATTGGTGATGGATCCAGGTGTTTCTTTGATGGAATTGTGTTTATTTGCAAAGTCTGGAGGACTCAAAGAACAGGAGGCGATTTCCTTGGTCACAGTTCCAAGCCTCCTTCCAACTAGCACTCAGCCCAAAAACTTTCTCTCTCTTTTGGCTTTGTCCAGGAGCCACACCCCCAAAGCTTCTTCTGGCTGTCTCCTTGGCTCTGTGCTGCTTCAGTGTCTGTTTCTCTTGCATGCAAAGCTCCACCAGTCAGTGCCCCAGTGCCTTTGCTATCTCAATCCCCAGGGAAAACCTCTCTTCTCTACTCCTGCCTTGGAGTAATAAGAATGCAGCCCTGGAGTTGATCCCAGGGGTTTCAGTGATTTTGATGCCTCCGTATTCACCACTCTCCCTATTCCCTTCCAGAGACCCCTGGGGACATACCCTGAGGAGCACTTTACCGAACACGGGCCAAAGCAACTCATGGCTGCCTTCCAGGATCGCCTAGCAGAGATCTCCCGGGAAATCAAGGAGAGGAACCGGTCGCTGAGTCTGAGCTACAACTATATGTATCCTCCTAACATAGAGAACAGTACAGCAATATAACACCCAGAGGTGCCACCCCTCCAACTGCCCCACGATGAAGAACCCCTCACCCAGACACCCACCACTGAATACCCCTGCAGTAATCGGCAACAGCATCTCCACAGCACACTGCCAAATGCTTGCTGGCATCCTGAGAACATTCACCCAGCCTGATGGAGCAATGGTGAATCACACACACTGGGGATCTGGCCCCATTAAGTCCAATGAAGAGACGCCCATTGACACCAGCTGGGATCTGCTCAGGGCCACCATAAACCTCCAGTTCAGGGATTTCCCTACACCCCCCCTACACCCTCCTAAATTTCCCCAACACCCTCCCCCCCCAGTTTTGTGAATTAAGTGCATGCAGTGTTGCCAATTTAGTGATTATTTGGGAATTTGAATTGAAATATTAATACACACTTTAAAAGCATATAAAGTGGATGATAAAATACGTGTATCTGAAAAAGTATCATAGATTTGATAAGTATGAACATAGACTAGCTCCCTTCTACAGCTGTTGTTTTTATGACAATGTCAGTGCATTCATTCCGGTGATGTCGGCCAAATTACGATTTGTTAGCAAAGTCTAAATGAGCTCTCCCTGACAGCTAGTGATGAGCTGGGGATGGGGGGAAAAGCTTCAGGACCAGATTGTGTTTACAGTCGCACCTAATCTCCCTAGGTATCCAGCAAACAGAGCTGTGTTGCCCAAGTGATAGATTTTGGCTGGGGTTGGGTTACAAATCACTTGAATGCGGGGGGTGGGGGGGATGAAATGTTGTTATTTTTATTGTGTGAGTAAAGGGGAGTAGAACTGTACTTAGCCTGTGCTGATCGAGGGCATCAAGAGCTAGGGTGGGGACAGGTGTTTTGCTTGATGGTCTGCCTGAGTCACAAGTACTATTCGACCTGCCCCTCTCCACTGTTTAAAGACAGAGCTGATTAGGCTCCGTAGATAGTCTTTTGTTTTGTTAAGTGACCACTGCAGCTGAAATCACTGATAATTGGTCTAAGTGGAAGAGAGGGCCCAGTCTGCACTAGCAGCAAGGTTCCCCCACTGAGAGCTCCGCTGAAATCATTGTGAGCTGTGTGGAACCTCAAGAGACATGCGAACAAACATGGGTGTGTCATCATACTTTCTATTTAAGCAAAAGATACCACACACTACAAACTGGAGGCCAATGTTAAGTGCATTGTCACTTGTTCATCCTGAAGTTGAACACTGGTTCCGAACAAGACCAGCAAATGCTCACTATCTTTCTGCAAGAAACTCAACTGACTGGCTAGAAGCATGCGGTGCAACAGTGAAAGACTCAACAGTTGAAAAAGTGAAGACCTCTCTCATCACATTCAAAAAATTTGCATACATGGCCGATGAATGCACAGATGCAAATGGGCAAGTATTAAGTCATTGTGTACGTTATCTTGATGTCAGTGGTAGGCCAGTAGATGCATTTCTAGATGTTCAAGTTATAGAAGACACATCGGCTGCGTCTGTGACAACCCACATCTTAGAAGAGTCAAATGCTTGTCAATTAGACTGCAAACAGATGGTTGCTTGTGCATTTGATGGAGCTGCAAACTTCTCTGGAAGACATGGTGGAGTACAAGCTTTGCTCAGAGAGAAGTATAACCCTAATCTCTCCTATACACACTGCAGAGGCCATCTACTCCAACTAGCGTTAGTACAAGCTGCAGACTCTTCAAAAGACATTTAAAAAGCTATAAATTTAATGTCTTCATTATATTCTTTGTTCAGCAAGAGTGCAAAAAGACTGAATATCTTGGAAAATATAGAAAATACACTGGGACTGAAGTTCAAATTAGTCCAACCTGGGAAAACCCTCTGGCTTTCTCATGAGTGATCCTTGGCTGTTGTCTTAAAATTACTCCAGCCATTATTACTGACTTTGGAAAGTATCTACCAAGATGGGATGGATCTAAGTAGTGAGGCTGGTGGATTACTTTTGCTACTACATTCAGAGAAGATTATTGCCATTCTCTCTCTTGTAAGTCTACTGTTGAAACCACTTGGGTCATTAAACAATGCCATCCAGGCATCTGCTACAACAGTAGTAGATCTTTGTCCAGCAATAGAAGCTACATTTGGATCAGAGAGCTATCCATTGAAAAAGTACTGGAAGAAGCAAAGACTTCAGTCCAGAAATCGACTAATGAAGACATTTATATTGAATCCTTAAGTGAAGAAGACAAGAAGTGTTTGTTAAGAGAACTGAAAAAGTACAGACTTGATTCTTAAAAATCTACAACAGCAACTTCTAGATTCTACTCAACCTCTACATAGCTGTTACAGATCCCTGTCCTATAAAACACCGACAGTTGAGTGGAATGAGGCACTACCAGCAATGGGGCTGCCATGTGATCAGGACAGAATAGAAAATTTGAACACAGAGTGGAATATCATACGACGAATGAATGAAGATTTGACTTCAACTTCTTTTTTATCATCACTAGTGGCTCGACCCAATCTTTGTGCTCTGTTTCCTGGGATGAAAGAAGTAGGAATTCATCTCTTGCTACTTCCAGTCACAACAGCTACAGTTGAGCGTTCTTTTTCATCATTGAATAGAACTTTGTGTTCTGAAAGAAGTCGCCTTCTGCCTGATCATGTGAATGAACTAATGAGCATATCAATTGAAGGAATGGAAGTACCGGACACATGAGAAGCCACCAAAGATGAACGCATTGCATTCAAGAAGTTCATTAACAGAGTTGTGCAAAATTATAACAAGAAACCAAGAAGGATGTAGACATCGTGCTTCATAGAAGGCTTGAGTAGCCAACTTTAATTTGTGTGATGATTTCAAAACATGAGTTTAAATCTAATAAAATGGTCATGAAACAGTTTTCGGTTTTTACTATGGTGCCATAAAGCCCACCTCAACTTGGGTATCATGGTCTCAATTCTTTGCTCCTCGTTGAGCATGAGAATGTCTTGGGGACGAGTCTGTCTTGTTCGTCAGCTGTCTGAGCAGTGCCCCACGGTGGCTTGTTGTCTTGGTGGGCAACTTGAGGTGCTACCGGTGTACAATTCATGAGCAGAGCAGGTTGGTCTTGGTAGACACCGACTAAACATGAGACCCCATTGAGATGCTGTAGCTAAGAGC